GGCCCCCCCCCCCCCCCCCCCCCCCCCCTCTTCCCTCGCTGACATCGCAGGTCAATGCAGCCCTCCGTGCCTGTTTATCCCTACAGACAGCGGCCACATCGACGCCAGGGCCCACCCTCTTGACAGACACTGAGAAAAGTCGACTGGATTCACGCGCTACTGCAGCTGCTGCGCAAATGGCGACGCTGCACCGTGAGGTACAGCTCACACTCATGCACAACTACATTGAGCGGGTCCTGTCACTGGTAGGCGGACCAACGGCCGTGCCAGTTCTAGTGCATTGTGGCTTTGCAGGCACAGCCTGGCCTCCCATCACGGCATTGCCTGATCTAGCCAGCCTTGGCTAATTGTTCTCCATCTTTCCATCATGGCAAGCTCGACCAATCTTGATAACAGCCCGCTCATAACTTTCTCGTCAGCGACTTCAAAACGCGAGCGAATGGGAGAGTGAATGGGAGCAAACCCAAATGTACAACGCCATGAATTTGTCTGACACATTTGCCATAACAACGCTGACTGATTGCCAGCGTGTTATGTGTGTGGGCTTGCTTGTGAGGTCAAAGGCGTGAAATTTTGAAGAGTTTTATGGGGAAAAACTTGAGTCACATGCCTTTTACAAGCTCACGTCCAAGTAAGCAAGTCAACCACATGCTTGAGCAAGCCCAGCACTACCTTGTGGGAAACCTGAAGCACGTTGACGCTTGTGGCAGCGCATCAGCCAGGGCGATAGGGGTGGCCCGCCTGGCGTGTGTTGCGGGGAGTGTATATCTCTTTGATCCAATAATGGCCTCGTGCAATCCTTATTTTTTATGCCGGAAGCTTTTGCGGTTGTTTGTGCTCTCGGGCTTGATGCTTTCGTTGTCTGTCTATTCGATTTGAACCAACGTGCGTCGGGCTTTGAACGGCAGCCGGCTTCGCCTGCATTTTCTCATCAAGGCTTGTGCATGCAACCTTGGATCCTTTTCAGGACCTTCTGTAGCCTTGACATTTTCCTTCAACCAGCATCATGCCTTTCGAGCCCACTGAGAAGCAGATCAAGGTATGTCGCTCATCGCTGCCACGTGACTCGGCGGGTGTTGCGCGTCGACCTTTTTTTTTCCTTTTTTTCAAGGAAGGGAGTGTGGAGGCCTAGAACCGGGATCTATCTCTTGGCCTGCTTTGACATTCATGTGCCAGACAAATTGTGCTCCATCACTGATTACGTTTCATCTCGTCCCTGGTTGCCATAGGCCGCCGTCAAGGAGGGTGGCAAGAAGGGCCAGGATCTCGCTGGGTGAGTTGCGTTGCGTTGCATTGTGTTGCATTGCTTCGCGGGTCAGCGCGCAGGCACCAACGCAGGTACCAACTGGTGACACGCAACCTCACGATGGTTTGTTTGAATCGCTTTTGTCAGCCTGTACGACATGGGCGGCGTGTCCTTCTTCCACGTCGTCATTGAGGCCGCTGATGGCGAGCTGTCGCTCGTTGAGGTGAGCCTGCGATGGCTGTGGTCACAAGTTTTCCAAAATTGTGGTCGTCAATGGGGCAGGAATTCGACTCACAGTTTTTGTCATTTTTCTAGCACGCCATGACTGGCGCCAACAAGGAGGTCGACGAGGGCGCTGAGGACCGCAAGGGTGGTTCCGGCCACGTTGCCAAGTGCTTCCTGAGCGGTACGTTTGTCGTTTGTACAGCCTGCTTCTCGCCGCGCACTGCGCAGCCAATGCTGTGTACCTCCGCTTGGGTAGCAATCAAGATGCTTCATTTCACGCTTGCCGCTGTTATTGTTGCTTTTGCTTGGGGCCATGCGCGTGCTCTCTACAGCCAACAAGGACCAGGTTGCCGGTATTTTCTACGTCCCTGCCTCTCTTGCCGAGAAGCTCACCGCCAAGGCCTGGTTCGAGCGCCTCAACGTTGTCCTGGGTGGCGAGATTGTCGAGGAGACTGAGGAGACCATCAAGGTCATTGCCAAGGGTGACCCCGCTGCCGAGAAGTTCCCTCTCAAGATCCGTGACGAGGCCATCAACGCTGGCTTCTCCCTGCTCCGTGAGAAGCAGCTCGTGCCCGAGGATGATGACGATTCCGACTATGACTACGAGGCTGCCATGGAGGAGAACGAGATTGAGTGGTAGATTTGCAGGGTCTCTTTGTCCCTGTCGTCATGCAACCTTTTAAAAAAACAACAACCGCAAATTCACATCAAAACTTTCATCAAAACCCCCTCCTTTACCTCTTCATCAACGTGCACACATACCGATAAGCGAATAGCCCAGTTCATCCCCCGCCGACGACACACTGTCTGCCTGCCTGCATCGATACACACACACACACACACACAATCATGATTGTCAGATGTCAGATGTTTTCTCAAACTATGCTTTTGCCCCTTCCTTGCTTTCTTTCTTCCACGTGTCGTGCGTGTTGTGCCGCTCAGCTCCATTTGTTGCAGCAGCAGCCTCGACCCTTTTTTATTCCTGGTCCGCGGCCTGCAGCCTGAACAGGAACCGGCACCATGGCCCGAAAGCGCAAGAGTAAGGTCAACAAGACGCCCGAGGCAGCGGAGATTGACTCCAAAGTGCCGCGAAGCTTTGTTTTCAATCGTAACAAGCTCGGCCCAGCGGCGAGCCACTTGATGCTAGAGATGCGCAAAGTCATGTCACCCTACACGGCGACCAAACTCAAGGTCCGAAGGCAGTAGTCTCCTGCTGGATCCTTTTGCTTTTGTTCTTGATGGCTCCTACAAATCAGCATCGGTGTCACAAGTCCTCCTCGCCTTGAAGGCCTAAGGGCAGGGCGTCCTTCTGTCGAATAGCATCTCACACTCTTTCCTGCTGGTGTCCAGGTCCGCGAAAAGAACGTACTCAAGGATTTTGTGTCCGTGGCTGGACCTTTGGGTGTGACCCACTTTATGATGTTTGGCCGTTCCGACGTCTCTCTTAATCTGGTGCGTGCGCCTGCATTGACGCTGGTGCCTTGGGTTTCCAATGTCGCGACGCGACGGAGTGCGCGACAGGGGGGATATTATATTGATTTTTTTTTTTTTTTTTTTTTTTTTTCGAGGGAAACGGTCCTTGGATTTTGCAACGATTTCTCTTTCTTCGTGTGGGATGCGCTGGCCTCATTATTCTTCTACCTTTTGCTTTGCACCGATTCAGCGTTTGTCCCGTGTACCGCGCGGCCCAACTTTGACCTTTCACGTTGAACAGGTCCGGCTTGGCTTCCTCTCCTGCTTTCGCTGTTTCACACGCTCTTCCCTCTCATTTGCTTCTCAAATCTACGAATCTGCAGTTTTGCCTGATGAAGGACGTGGCTGCCATCCAAAAGCACCCGCGAGCTGCCGTCAAGCAATACACCCATCCAGCTCTGGTAGGTTACAACATACACCCAGACACACCCAGACAGACACACACACCCAGACACCCAGACACACACACCCAGACACACACACACACACCCAGACACACACACACACACACACACACACACACACACACACACACACACACACACACACACACACACACACACACACACACACACACACACACACACACACACACACACACCATCACCTTGCTGCCGCAACCGTCCTCATTCCTTTGGCTGTCATTGCTCTGAGCGCAGCTTGTCCTCAACAACTTTGGAGGTGACGCCAATCACCTTACGCTCTGCGCCAAAGTTTTACAAAACATGTTCCCCAGCATTTCAGTGGGCGAGGTGGAATTGACCACTATTAAGCGAGTTGCGCTGTTCAACTATGACGCCGAGTCGCAATGCATCGGTGCGCCGTGGTTCCTTTGCATATTTACAAGCATTCCCGCACACATGTCAATGTCCATTCGAACCGAGGCCGGCATTGTTCTTGTTTCCCACTTGTGGTGACGGCTCCATCTGCCCTATCCGGTCCTCCTCTTACTCTGGTGGCGCATCAATGTAGAGTTTCGTCATTACGAACTCGTCGTCCAACCTTTTGGGGTGTCCAAGACTGTCAAGAGTATCCTCAAGACCGAGGTACCAGATCTTGGCAAGCTGGAGGATATCAGCGAATTTCTCATGCGGTGAGAGTGTTTGGGTCCGGGGGGTTTCTCCTGCTTGTGGATATGAATAATCAGCAACGCACATCAGCAGTTTTTCGCACATCTGCTTGGCAACTTGCGCATCTCGGCTCATGACTGGAGATGCTTTTTTATTTTATTTTTATTTTGCTTTTCCTGTCTTTTCAGGGGCGATGTGGCCTATGAAAGTGATGGCGAGGGCATTGCAGAGGCCGTGGACCTTCCAGAGCCAGCCCACAAATCTCATCAGCGTGGGGGCAAATCACGCCTCAAACTTGTTGGTCAGTAAACTCCGCCCGCGTCATGCCTTTTCGCCAGCGACCTTGGTTTCCAGTCAGGTTTCGATCATCACTATTTCCTTCATCGTTTGTTTTTCTGCCTCATTGCTCATCATCTCATCGGGAATGCTTGCTCTTGCGCTGTCTGGGGGGTTTCTTGGTTGGTCAGAGCTTGGTCCTCGCATGAACCTTCGCTTGCTCAAGATTGAAGAGGGCTTGTGTGACGGCAAAGTTTTGTATCACGCACTGCGTAAGTTGATCGTTGGCCTGGGGCGCAATTTTTGCAAACGTCCTGTTGCACGCGTCGATCGGTTGCCTGTGTGACTGTGTTGCTGGCATGTTGTCCTTTCCTTCAGGGTCGAAAACGGCGGCCGAAGTCAAGGCTACGGAGGCGGAGCGAGAGAAGAAGCAGCAGCTGCGAGCGCTGCGAAAAAAGCAACAGGTATGAGTTAGTCGCACGTTGGGCCTTGCCTGCCGACTCGCAACCTCATCTAACCATTTTTGATACAATTGCATCTATACAGGAGGAGAATGTTAAGCGCAAAGCCGCTGAGCGGGAAGCGCATCGTCGACGGAGCATGCGAGGCCAGAAGACAGCGGCTGGTTCGTGCCTAGGGTCCTGCGTGCATGCATTTCCCGGATCCTATTGCCCCTGAGACCAACTCATGAAACAACCCGTTGTGTGAGTAGACGGGAATGAACCTAGCATTCAGATGGAGGAGGACGATGATGAGAAGTATTATCAAGAAGAAGTGGGCGAGGCTCCGCCAAAAGGTGTGTATGTGGCCTCTGACTCCCTGCCAAGTGCACATACAATTGGGCGATAACAGTCGTTCTCAAGCATAAATTCTTGCTTGCCCTTTGCACCCTCTCTTCTGACCGGGATCACAGAGCTTGGTTTGCACAAGAAGGGCGAATCGTTTGGAAAGCGCCCTTTCAAGCACGGGCAAACATTTCGACGTTCGGGTTCAAGTGGACGACCCAGTGGTGACGAGCGCTCGGGACCGGCTGCCAAACGTTCCAAACCCCTCAACTCCTTTGCTGTCACGTCTTCTGGTCGCGGTCGTGGCTCTGCCGGTCGCGGTCGTGGCTCTGCTGGTCGCGGTCGTGGCTCTGCCGGTCGCGGCTCTGCCGGTCGCGGCTCTGCCGGTCGCGGCTCTGCCGGTCGTGGTCGTGGCTCTGCCGGTCGTGGTCGTGGCTCTGTTAGTCGCGGCCGTGGAGGAGCGCGCAAGTAGCCATCTACCTTGTTACTGCGGAAAAGCTTGTCGCGTCATCTCCCCGGTCCCACCAGACATCGGGGTCGTCTTTATTCCGTGCCTTTGGCAATGTAATTGATTGCCCTTCCTGCGCGTCGGCATAGCGCCATTTCAATGATCATGAGATTGTTCATTCGGACGTCCAGCCAAGCCAAGATCGCATTGATGCTCAAAATGTTTTTGTCAATCAACTTTGATACCCTGCGTGGGTGCTTTACTTAATAAAAGGCAATTTATTTGTCTGGCAACAGCAGGTTCTACTCTTTGCGAGCCCCTGGGTCGGTTTCTGATGACAAAGACCCGAAAAAGAAATAGAAAAAGAGGAACAACAAGGTAACAAATACAAGGCAGCCAGCAAATCAAGACAAACGACAGCAAATGCCAGTACAAACAACAGTCAAAATGGCAGCGCCAGCTCTCGCAACTTTACTCAACTAGAGGGCGAGCCGTGGGTGACGCTGGCTGCTGAGACAGGTTCTTCCCGCACTGATCGCCAGCCAGAGGACCCGCGCGGCGGCGCAAGAGGGGACAGGCCCTTGGACAGGCGGCGAGGGGTGTCTGATGCATTGCTGGCACTACTCATGCGCCGGGAGCCAAAGAGCGACTCGGGTCCACTCGTCAGCCCATTGGAAGCACCATGCACCTGATCTCCAAATTCGGTACCGGCCGCCGGAAACACGGGCGGCATTTCACTCGTGCGTAGTGCATGGGATGTTGGCAGAGACAATCCCGTCGCCAACGGGGGGCGTGGCATTCGCCAGTTGACCAGTTGTTGAGGCACGTCGCTGTCTGCCGCATCCTGTAGTTGCTCCTGCGTGAAGGGCTCAAGGTCGCCGAAAAAATCAAAGCTTGGGTGCAGCCGGTCCACAATGATCCTGAGAAAGAAGCATCGAGCCGCCCAAGTACACCCTGATGAGAAAAGCGCCCATTCCAGCGTGGCACTGGGATGAAGAATTTTTTTTTCATTTTCTTTTGGCAGCAAGCAACACACCGCCCACCCCGGCCGACTCGGCGACGACAGTAACCACTCAATGGCGGAGGCGTGTAGTCAAAGCCAACTTCTTCGCGCGGAGGAGACAAGTCCAGGGCACCGCGTGCAACATAATGGTAGCGTCCTGTGTAAAATTGCTGCATGGACGGCCGTGACAATGGCTAGAGAAAAAGATGTAAACGGAAAGGATATGTCACGAGCGCAGCAATGGGGTTATAGTGAGTCAACAGCAAACGGCAAAAAGTTAGGCGTCGAGCAACACAATGGCATTGACAAAACTGACCTGGTGGTACAACAGTCGCGCACGGCGACGGAATCGGAACGGGTCACTGTGGTCATATTCGTCTTCTGTCACGGCTGAAGTGTCGCAATACTCCTCCTCCAGCTGTAGTTGACATGGGATATCACCACATTAAGATGAAATGGCTGCTGAAGCTAGCCCAACGCAGCCTGTGAGTATTGCTTCTGACGACTCACCTTTTTGCGCTTGGCTGCCAGGCGCGCCGGGCCACGATTTGCGCGATCAGCAGGTTTGGTGCGGCGCTTGGGATCCAGCTTGATCTTGATCGACTTGGGCGCCTTGGTGCCGACTGGTGTCTCCGCTGGGCGCCCAGGCGTTTGTGTCGCTGGGGTAGCAGGTTGCGGGGGCGGGGGTGGAGGAGCCGTCCAAGGCGTACATTTTTGCTCCTTGGCACCGTCCCAATCGCTCACAAGCACTCTGTCACAAGTGGGGCCCGATGTTGCATGAGAGGAGCGACAGAGAGCAACGCTGGGTCAAGTCCGTGACTGGCAATGGCGCACACCTTGCTTTGAAGACGTCTAGATCGCTTTGTATAAACTTGAGTTTAAGCCGCTCGCGCTCCAGCATGGTCTGGAAGAGCTCTCTGTCAAAGTTTTTTTGTTTTTGTTTTTTTTTAAAAAATAGCCCATTGCCACGGCAAGCACCAAATCCAGAGAAACAAGCAGATGAGCAAACGGAGAAGTTGCATTTGGCTTCGTGTGGCGACATCAAAGTTCAAGTCTGCTGGCGCTCATGATATTGCACAATTGTACGCACCGGGCCTTGGTCAGATCACGGTGAAGCTTGAGCATGTGAATGTAGTGTATTTCAGTATTTTGCCGATTCTGCCAACCATCAAATGTGTGCTTTGAGCGTCACAGTCAAATACGGTGTGTTTGGAGGGCTCAAGGCGTACCTTGCGAGTTTGCATTTTCTCGACACGGCGGCGAAAGGCCACGTAGGGGTCGGCGGCACTCGCAGCGTCGCCCAGGTCGGACTTTAACCGCGGTGAGATGGTGTCCCGGCCCTATGACAAAAGTAAAAAAAAACACAAAAAACACCAGCTGGTGAGCAAGGCAATACAGGCTGCAGGCTGCTTTGCCGATGTCATGTCGGAGACGCAGGCAGGGAGCACGGGTCTCAAGATCGACTACACACCAGCGTCTTGACACGATCGGCGTAGTACTTGTGCACGATCTCAAGCAGTGCGGCATCAAAATCGTGTGGGGCAAGCTTGGCAACAGCGCTAGCGGAGATCTGCAACCGATTGCGGCCACATGCTGTGATGAGCGAGAAGAAGAACAAATACCGGCAAATGATGCAACTGGGTCTTTCTCTGGCAGAGGATGAAAACCTACAGGCCAGTTCTGCTCGACTAGGTCCATATAAGCCTCAAAACGGAAGGGGTCAAGCTTTTTTCTACAAGGGCATGCGCAACAAGGCATGCAAAAGCATGTGTATTTTTGATGTGAGCAAAAACATTCGACACGACAACGAGGCCACGGACACGGGACGCATGCTATGCCAAAGGCATTGCTCGAGTTGGATCGCCTTGTTTCCTACACTGTCGGCTTGTTGTCGTTGTATTCGTTCAACCAGGTCTCATCGTCCGAATCCATATCATACTGGGGTGGCTGCTCATCGAGATCGCCGAAGACTGCACAGAGTGAAGGGTAAGATTGAGCCATCAGAAGAGGCAGGTCATGGCACGACTTGTGATAGTCATCAAACCGCAACTTGAGGCTGGGGCGCGCGAGGCCAGGGCGAGGGTGAGCGAGCGAAATAACTCACGGTCCGAATGAACGTAACGCGACGGCACGACATAGTCGGGTTTGTAGAGCTCCTGCACACGGGCAGAATCAAAGTGTGTCAGATAAGAGTTGGAACATGTCCATAGGTATGAGATTTTCTTTCTGGACACTACGGGTGAGGCTTGGCCAATTTGTCGTAGAGACTTGCCTCGTAGAGCGGTACCCCCTTGACGACATCGGGAATGGGGATCGCCAAAGAGTGGGAGGCCAAAGTTCCCTTGAGATTTTGCTCGTCAATGATTTTCTTTACATGTATTTCCTGTTGCACACAGTATCAAGAGCGGTCAGAGCGAGCGTGAGAAGACATGGATACCTTTCCAAATTCTGGTTGAAGAGCAAACTCCCTTGAAAAACTCCCTCAAAACACATGTGCGCAGACACAGACACAGACACAGCCACAGGCCCACAGACACAAAGACATACACAATAAGGACAAAACACAAAATCGAAAACACAAAACACAAAAAAAAGAGGAAAGCAAAAAATTCAAAAAAATACAAAAAAAAAAAAGAAAAAGAAAAAAAGAAACGGAAAAGGGGCAGAGCCAACAACGAAGCTGGAGCATCGCGAAATGAGGCAGGCCAGAGGCACAAGAAGCGCAGTCGCACCTCTTCTTCCTCTTTTTCCATGCCAGTGGGAAGTTGTTGGGTGGCACGGTTCACGTTCACGGTTTCGGTGAGGACCTCAGGCTCCTGATCCGCTCGAATAACGGCCAACGGCTTGCTTGGCTCCAAGGCCTTGGTGCGAAAGGTAAACTTGCTCATGATGCCGAGTGGTGCTCGCCCTGTGGTGACGAGGTGGCGTAATCACACACAAACACCCCCTCGGTGGAGCTTGCAAAGAGAAAAGGGCAGCTTGCCAACAGCGCAAGCTCTAGGGTAGCTGATTTGAAGCAGCCGTCGGCCTTCACGGTCGCCGCAAGATCTTCTGGCGGGTTTTTTTTTCTTCTTTCTCAAGTCGTTTCTTTTGTTTTCGTTCAGTCAGTCTTGTTCGCTGAGCGGGCCTTACCAGCAGGAGCACGGGAAAAAAGGAGTCAAGAGCAAAGAGGACCGCCTTCCGGGGGGTCGTGCTCGATGGCACTTGCAGGCAGATCCACTGGCACTCTCGAAGGATGGGCAAGGAATGGCGGGGTGACGATCTCAGGTGGGCATGGCGGCCATTTTTCAAGCTCTGCCCACGGCCGTTTGGCCCACCACCGTGCAGCGAGCTCAGCAGGGGGGCCTTTTTCCGTACACGACTATAGCCGAGCCCCCTTCTTCTGCTGCAAGGCGTTGTACAAAAAAGATTACACTCTTTCCACACTGGAATGAGTTAAATGACACACTTGTTTGTGCCCGCGAATTCAGTGATGACCAGCAACAGGTGAATAAGATGTCAGACTTTTATCTCTCTCTTTCTCTCTCTCTCTCTCGTGCTTTTTGGTTTCATTTTTTGAGCTGGAGCGGGCTCTCTCCTGCCCGTCTACCGCCAGCTGCGGCCACCCGTGCGACTGGTTAACGGGGTGTGCATGGTCACAATTATGGAGGGTTCATCTCGTATGAGTGTGGCCGAGCGCCTTGTGGCCGTTTTGAACCGGCTCGATGCCGTTCCCCACCCCTTCTTTGAGCGCCTCTTGGCCTTGTGTCCCACCGAGGATCAATTAGGTACGTTCATTGGCCCTCAGCGCCTGTGATAATGTTGACTAAGACTCACCATGAGCTGAGTCAACCCATGTCCCGTGCTCAACACTTCCTGCATTATATCTGTGCGCGGTCAAATGGCTCACAGAGAAGGGCCGGGTGCATCACGAACAACTGGTTTGCCTGGCTGCTCTGGCTGAGCTTTGTGCCAACAAATCCACTGGCGTATGTGTGCGCACTCTGGTATCTCTATCGACCAAAGTTTCATCCTCTCACTTGCTTCTCATCGAATCATAAAATCAACACTTCACCCGCGATGGCACCTTAGAATCTCCTTGATCGTCTTTCTGCCTATCTTTGCCGCTGCTGCGCCTGCTTGCCCGACTTACCCCCGCAAGAAAATGAGGATGGTGGGTGCTGTTGAACCGCCGTGATGAATGTGTTTCCCGTGCGCCCCTGCTCACACCGCATTGTTGTTTTGTACGATGCAGTGATTCGACGGGTGGCACGCTACGCCTTGCAATGGCTTCGTGAGGTGCGTACTCGACGTCTCGGGCTGGCGATTCGGACCCTCCACCACGATTTCTCGTCGCCATTTGTGATGGTGATTATCATTCAATGCACGTGGCTGTTTTGACCGCCCTTAGCATATGGAGGAACACCAACATTTCTTGGACATGCTTAGCTCCTGCCTCGAATTGAGCCAGTGTACGGACAGCAGTCACTTGTTCACTCTGCCATCGAGCGCTCATCCGGAACCAGGTGGTCACCTTCTTTGCCCTCATCCCCACCCTCGTTCCTCTTATTATAGCCAACGAGGCAGACCATCAACAACGATGTGCCGTGCTCTTAAATGCATGGGTTTCCGCTGTTCTGCAACGCCCCGAGCTCGTGCCCAAGGTCCTTCACCATTTTTTAAACGAACCGAGACTGCCTGAAATTCTAGCTCAAGCCAAAGAGGTATGGGCGCCTTGGTTGGCCGCAAACTCTGGACACATCACCCAATCTGCTCACCTCGCGTTCGCTGGTGACTTCTTTTCATCCCTAAATTGTCATCCTGCTTGGTCGTATTCGTTAGCCTAATCAGCATTTGGCGGGAACAGTGGCTGTCTTCTCCTGTTTACAAAAGTTATTGGAGAACCAGTTGACTGCTCGACAACCTCGACCATCGCTTGGTGACTCTTCTACTGACTCTTTCGTCGCTGAATTTCAACCAGGTCAGTTGTATTCTTTTGTTTTGGGCAAGGTAGGAAGGGAGGGGCGGGGTTGCCGGTTTTTTTTTTTGTTTTTTTCACCATGGAGACCGCTCAATCTTTACTTTTGAATTTGCTTGAATCGCATTATCCTCGGGCCATCCAGACACGATTGGACATCACCTTTTCGCGCCCGCCCGAGCGCTCCTCGAGTCCTTGCTCGCCGCATCTTGGCCAAAAGCGCTGGCAGGTATGACGCCACGCAGTCCACGCCTCAAACACCCGATTGCTCTTGCCCCGGAAGCCAGATGAATGTGCACAGCCTCTTACCCACACATATTACCCGTGCACCTCGTACTTCCTACGCCTCACCCTTGACGTACATGGTCCCCTTGCTTGGCAGAACCCCAAGCTCAGCGCTTAGCCTCTGATATGCTTGGTCGCGTTTTGGTCCTGGTGGCGTTGACAGCCAACGAGACAACCGAGGCCGGTTTCGCCCTGGACACAGCCTTGCAACTGCTCAAACGCTCGGAAACCGCCCTGCCGATCATCTCTCTTTACCTCAATGCGCTTGAGGCCCTGCGTATCCTTGATCACCGCTGGCCAATTTTTGCCAATCAGATAATCACCGTGGCACGCTCTCTTCTTCTGGGTCAAATGCCTGCACTTGTGCGCGTGCACAAGCGTCTGACCGCTTCCAAACACGCGGCAGACTATGAGGATGCTCTCACAACTCTGTGCTCGCAGCTAGCCCGGCTGCTGCGTGCCAACACCGTCGACAGCCCTCGCCAGCTGACGGCGATGAAAGAATTTCTCTCTAGTGTCACCTCACATCTCCATCTTGCCGAGACCAATGTTCGGGCCATTTGTATCGTCAATGCGGCTCGTGTTATCTGCGAACTCTTCCGCTACACACGTGGGCTCAACAATGCCACAGAGTTTGATAAGCTTTTGCAACACTGCATCCTCAACTTTCGCAGCATCGCCCTCCGGCCCGACTTGAAGGTGGATGCGAGCATTGCCGAGGCAATTGCACGGCTGGGAGCCATCAACCCAGCGGCCTTTGAGCGGTCCTTTGATTGTCTTTTACAAATGCTGCTTCATGTGTGCAAGCCAGAGTCCAAGGCCGAGACACCAAATAGCCCCTTGTCAACGCGGGCTGCCACGACCACAGCTTTACCCTCAAGCATGGGTCCAGTCGACTCAGCCAATAGCAATCCTACACCTCTGATTCACCAAAACAGCCCATCGGTGTTGGCTCTCGTCGGAACGAGTATCGCATCCAATGATATACCAGCGTATGCCGGTGTTGTACAGGACCAATTGCTCAAACTGTGCGGCGCTGCCATAGCAGTTGCTTCATCACATCACCTCGAGCGCTTGGCAACCGTTTTTGTACAAATGGCGCGGCAAACGCTCATGACTATCCCCGCCACGGACAGTCTTTCTGAACGGCGGCAACGCATGTGGCCCCTTCTCTGCTGCGTAGGTACGCTGGCCTCACACTTTCAAGGATCAACGCCCCCCGTGTTTTCAGATGAGGCCGTTGCCACCATGCGCACCCTGTGGTGTACGCTGGTTCTTTTGGACTTCCATACCGATCAAGCCGAGATCGAGCAACCCAAGCTGCATGAAGCCCTCGTGAATTTGGCTTCCGTCATGCCTCGCTTGGTTGCAGCTCAGGTGGCGAGCTACTTTGATGCTGAAGTCGAAGCAACCTTGGATCGCTTCAAGGCACACTTGACTCCTACACGCGTGGCCCAGCTGACCAAGCAGCTGAGTGCGGCGCTGCCTCAGCATCCAGAGCTCAGCCAAGAGGTTGCACGCCTCAGCCCAAACTTTGCTCTGTATGTTCTAGCCATCATTCACGCCGAGCGATTGCGGTTTGAAGATCCCGAGGCCAACTTTTTCGTGACCTTTTCCTATTTGGAGCACCGTGGTTTGCTGCAGCCTAGCCGTCTTCGTGTGGTCACAGGGCTGGTCGAAGCGTTGTTTGAAAAGTATCTAGCAGTGCTTGCTCAACAGCGGAGCGGGCGTCGAGCTTCATCGCGGGCCGAGGACTTGGCCATCTTCCTCTTAGTGCAGTTTACACACCGTTTTACAGAGGTTTCGGCCGTTGCCGATCGTCTTCTACCTTTGATGACAAAACGCTTCCCGTTTGTCGTCTGGAGTGATCGTGTGATCTCTGCTTGCCTGGATTTGGTTGATTTGGTCCACAAGAACATGAAGGCCTTTGATCCAGTCAGCTTGAACTGCGAAGTCGAGTTGCCCTACCCGCCTTATAAATGCGTCTTACCAGCACTGTTGGAGGCACGCCTTCGCATTCTGAGCACCTTCAAAAAGCGCTGCGTCGATCTTGTCACGCATGCCCTTCAACATAGCGCGAAGGAAACGACGGCTATTTTGCAAGCATACATCTCACGTCTCTCCTCCCATGAGCTTTCAACCCGCGATCATCCTGGGCTTGAGGTTGCGCTCCGCGTAAGTTTCGCTAGCAGCTAAAGCAAAAGCCCAGCCGCGAACAAGTCACGGCAGAACTTAAACTATGTTTGTGCCTAGCCTCGAGACCTTGCGCCTGCGACCTAATCCCATGCTATGCCAATCCTTGATAGTGTTTGAACTGCAGCGCCGAGGATCACGGCTCATCTATTCCAAGCTTACTGGGCCCTGCCTTGGCCTTGCGCAACCGCTATCGCGTATGCCCGTTATTTCCCCTGCGACTCACTTGTGTGCTGGCTCCTTCTTCTCATCTGGCAATACTGCGCACGCGATTGCAGGGTGAGCTTCTTGGCATTCTCCTTTCAAAGAATAGCAGCCAAAACAAGGTCGGAGGGACTTCGGAAAGTGTCCTCAGCTATGAACACCTCCACGATGACAATGGGCTAGACTCGACCGTGCTCCCCTTGCGTAAGTCTGACTTCGCGTCGCTCCGTGGTGAAAACAATCTTAGTCGTTTTTATATGGACTGGCTTGATCCACCTTGGCTTGCGATATTTCTCCCTTTTTTTTTTTTTTTTTTTTTTTTTTTTTTTTTTTTCTCCTTTCATGCTTGCTTGATCGATTTTTAGCCAACGCTGAACTGGCACCAGACGTGCAGTACCCCGGCCTCGAAGAATGGCGCGGCAACGTGTTGGACCGACTGCATGGTCTGACAGATTTGTTGATCGTGGCACGCGAGCGAAGTTTGGCCAACGATGAATTGGTGTCCTTGCCGCGCAATCTTCGACAGCAACTCGGCCTGGATGATGAAGCATCTACATTGACTCATCTCATTGAGCTCTTTGACGAAGCCATGTACCAGGCCACAGCACTACTGGTTTTTCGTCCGGCCAACTGGAATCCATTGAGCCACACAACCTCGGTTACCAACTCACTGCTTATCGACGCAATCATCTCAAGCCCAGTTCGCGTCTGGAAGTTGACTGCCATGCGAACAGGAGTATCTTGCTGGTCCTGGCTCCTGTCTGAGCGACCCGACATGGAAACTCGCGTCATGCATGCTATGTACGGCGCTTGGGTGTGGTCCATTGAGCAAGGCATTGGCCTTTTTTCACCCGAGCACGGGACAGAGCAAGGAGCTGAGGCCGTTTACAAGCCAGATGCCAAGCCGGCTCCTAGCCTTTCTCGTGCCCCAAATGTTTGGATTGCCTTTTTGGAGGAGCGCTTCCGCATCGTGCGCAAGCGCAGCATGTCTCAGTCTCAGCTGATTGGAAATATGGTGCTGGTTGCTTTACGAGCGGCTCGCAGTATGAACCGTCACTTCACGGCGGTTGCGGTCAAGTATGTCGAGTTCTGAAGTCGTGTGTGTTGCTGTTTCTTTCTTTGACAGCA